GTTATATCTAGCATCTCTATATATTCGCTCCCTGTACTCTCAGACATTATTATTGAATACAGAAAATATATTCTCATATGGTATCAGCTAGGTTTTCTTTTCTCATGGAAAACGTCGGTGTTAATGACGACTCTGTTCTTGGTTCTTCGGAATGGACCGTTACCGAGGTTCCTACGATGCCTGCGAGTGGTAACCTGTCATCGGCTCATCACTTCGTTTCTTTAAAGTTGACCTCCCGAAATTATCTATTCTGGCGAACTCAGATGCTTCCGTTTCTTGAAGGCCAAGGGCTTCTAGGGTTTATTGATGGTACAACACCCTTTCCGACGACATCGCCGGCCTTAACGTCGACCGCAGACAGCGCCCCGGCGGCGGTTTCCGATCTCCCCGCCCGGCAGCTCGCTTGGCGTCGGCAAGACAAGGCAATCCTCTCCATGCTCATCTCTTCTTTGTCCGAGAAGACTCTTCGTTTCGCCGTTGGCAAGGGCACCTCTCGGCAGCTTTGGCAGGTAATCGAACAACCCCTAGGTTCGTCTACTCGCTCTCATGCACTCTGGCTACTCGGCGAACTTCAGGGGCTCCGTCAAGGTGATTCCTCGATATCTAATTACCTTGGTCGTGCCCAGATGTTGATTGATGAATTGGCCCTCGCCGGTCGACATGTTGAGTTGGATGATCAGAATTTATATGTGTTTCGCGGTTTACACCCGGAGTTCCAACCGTTGGTGGCAACTCTAGCCCGTGGTGCGCCAGTTCCCCTCCCGGAGGTTGCAGATTTTCTTGTTTCACAGGAGTGGATCTGTTCGGACGATGGTGCGGCTCTCGGCGCACCGATGGCCTTGGCCGTAAGCCGTGGTGGTCACGGCGGTCGCGGTGGCAGCCCACAAAACCGAGACGGTAGCGGCCGCGGCAGGGGGCGGTCCAACTCGGGTCCTCGGTGTCAGATTTGCAACAAGCAAGGGCATATAGCTAAGGCGTGTTGGCGTCGTTTCACTCCTGATTCGGACCCTCAGGCGAATGTTGTCGTTTCTGGTGTTGATGGTTCTATGGACGACTCTCATCAGTGGTTCCCAGACACTGGTGCCACAAATCATGCTACCCCTGATCCCACATTATTGACGTCCTCTACTGCACATGATGGTCCGGAGACACTTCGGGTCGGCAATGGTACAGAATTGCCTATTGTTACTGTTGGTTCTACTTCGTTAGCCACTAATTCTAGGTCGTTTCGTATGTCTGATGTTTTGCATGTTCCTGGTCTATCTTCTTCGTTATTATCTGTTCAGCGTTTTGCTAAAGAGAATAATGTCTTTTTTGAGTTTCAGCCTTCGTGTTTCTTTGTGAAGGACATTCAAACCAGGAACACCCTTTTAAGGGGCATGCGTCCGGGGGTTTATATGCATGGCCTGCCTCGCGTCCGGCTCCCGCTGCTTTCGTTGTTACACGGTATTCTTTCGTCTGGCATATGCGGCTTGGGCATCCACACTCTCGTGTCCTGCGTCAAGTTTTAGCCTCTTCTAGTCTTAGTTCGTTTAATCCCATTGATTTGCCCAATATTTGTTCCTCTTGTCAATTAGGCAAGTCGTCTCGTTTTCCTTTATCGCGTGTTGAATGTACTAGTTCGCATCCTTTAGAATTAATATATTCAGATATTTGGGGCCCTGTGCCGATACTTTCTGCAAATGGCTTTAAATATTTTGTATTATTTGTGGATGATTACACTCTTTACGTATGGTATTATCCTATGCGAGCTAAGTCTGATTTATATGCGATATTTGATAAGTTTCGGTCACTTGTTGAACGTTCCTTCTCTCGTAAAATTCTGTCCTTTCAGTCTAATTTAGGGGGAGAATACAAAAAGCTTGGTTCGACTCTCGCGTTATTGGGTATTCGACACAGGCAGTCCTGTGCGTACACTCATGAACAAAACGGCAGAGTAGAACGCAAGCATCGCCATGTTTTCGAAACGGGACTGGCGCTAATGGCCGAATCCTCTGTTCCGTCACGTTTCTAGGATTATGCCTTCGAAACTGCTGTGTATCTTATCAATAAAATGCCCACTCGTGTCTTGTCTGATAAGTCCCCTCACTACCTCTTGCATCGGTCTCCACCCTCTTACTCATACTTACGGGTTTTTGGGTGTCTGTGTTTTCCTAATCTGCGGCCCTATAATCGCAACAAACTGCAGTTTTGGTCGTCTCCTTGTGTCTTTCTAGGATATCCCCCGTCCTTTAGTGGCTATCGTTGTTTAGACACTAACACTAACAATATTTTTATCTGTCGCCATGTGCGATTCGATGAGACTGTCTTTCCTTTTGTTGCTTCTGTTAATTCATAGGTACCTGCACCACGCCCGAAGCCATGGGGTGTTGCGCCGGTTGTGCCTCCTGGTGAGCCGAGTGATGTCTCGGCCTTTGATCCGCCTGCCGTGTCTGAGCCACACTGCCAGCAGCCCGTTCTTGCCGAGCCGTCCGTGACCGAGTCCGAGCGGACAGTCACGGACCAGCCGCCTACTCGGCTGAGGGGTCGACCTCGTGGTCGATCCCGTCCCGCGCCCTCGCCCGTTCGCTCTCATACGATGAATACGCGGAGCTCGGGACCGCATGATCATGTTGCTCTATCTACAGACATCACTATTGAGCCTACATGTTTTACTCAAGCGGTCAAATTTCCTGAATGGCGGGATGCAATGGATTTGGATTTAATGCCTTGGTGCACAACAATACTTGGAGGCTTGTTCCTTTTAAATCAGGTATGAATGTGGTTGGCTGTAAGTGGGTGTTTAGAACCAAGAGGAAAGCTGATGGTTCGATTGAACGTTACAAGACTCGTTTGGTTGCCAAGGGATTCAATCAGGTTGCTGGTGAGGATTTCTTTGAGACCTTTAGTCCCATGGTTAAACCGACTACGGTACGTCTTCTTTTATCCTTAGCTATTTCTCGTGGATGGACTATTCGACAGTTGGATATACACAATGCCTTTCTAAATGGCAATCTCGCTGAGACGGTTTATATGCGCCAGCCCCTGGCTATGAAGACAAAACGATGCCCGGGAACGTTTGTTTCCTTCAACGTTCTTTATATGGGCTTATGCAAGCTCCTCATGCTTGGTTCACTCGTTTGCATGATTTTCTGGTTTCTGCTGGTTTCTCACCTTCCAAGACGGATGTCTCTCTATTTATATATTCACATGGCAATACTCGTCTATATTTTCTGGTTTATGTGGATGATATTTTGGTTATGGGATCTGATCCGGCTCATGTGACTGCTCTTATTGACAAGTTGGCTCTTGAGTTTAAAGTTCGTGATATGGGTGTGCCCTCGTTCTTTCTGGGTATTGAGACTGTTCCGTTGTCTGATGGCATGCTTCTGTCTCAACAACGGTACATTCTAAAATGAGCAGGTATGGTTGATTGCAAGCTCGTGGCTATTCCGGTTTCAACCACGAAGGCCGAGACTGATACCGTGGTACCATACGCTGATCCCACTCAGTATCGCAGCTTTGCAGGTGCTCTGCAATATCTTACGGTAACTCGGTCTGATCTTTCCTATGCAGTCAATCGTTTGTGCCAGCACATGCACTCTCCCTCTACTGCGGATTGGGCGGCTCTCAAGAGGGTGTTACGGTATGTAAATGGGACACTACATCTTGGTCTTAAGATTACGTCTTCTCCTTCTTTAGATATTCATGCATATTCTGATTCGGATTGGGCTGGCAATCCTGATGATCGCAAATCTACTAGTGGTTTTGCTGTATTTTTGGGAACCAATCTTGTCTCATGGGTTTGTCGAAAACAACGTACTGTGGCTCGTTCATCAACTGAGGCTGAATACAAAAGACTGGCTGATGTCTCTGCAAAGGTTACTTGGCTCGTCTCTCTGATGAAGGAAATCGGGTTTGCACCACCTTCTGTGCCCAAACTCTGGTGTGACAATCTGGGAGCTACTTATCTGTGTGCTAATCCGGTGTTTCATGCTCGCACCAAGCACATTGAGATCGACTACCACTTTGTTCGTGATAAAGTCGCGAAGAAGGAATTACAAGTCAATTTTATTTCTACCAAAGATCAGATAGCGGATATTTTTACTAAGTCTCTTTCGTCTGCACGTTTTAATTTACTCCGTTGCAAGCTCAATGTTTTGGCTGACCAACCTTGTGCTTGAGGGGGAGTATTAGGACTCTATTATCCATATTAGACTAGGACTATATTATCCATATTAGACTAGACTATATTATTCGTGTTGGACTAGGATTATATCTAGCATCTCTATATATTCGCTCCCTGTACTCTCAGACATTATTATTGAATACAGAAAATATATTCTCATCCTTGATACCGAGAGGTTTAATTTGTAATTGGATTTAGCATCTTCTTGGATACTATCCTAGTTTTTTTGGGAAAAAAAAACAAATAACAATTTCAAAGTTCTCTTGAATACTATAGGAAAGGTTGCAATTTTGAAGGCCTTTTTTTTTTTTATCCCTTGTGTAGTTGTGTACTTATTTTAGGACAAATAGGATTGAGAAAGAGTTATTTAATGTGACATGCATGAAATCTTTCGGTCAGTAAATTAAAATAAGTCACTACAATTATATCATGGATTAGGGTCCACATAACATTATGGACTCTTAATCAAAACGAGAATGTACAAAATTTATACTTGTAAAGTATATAATTTCATAACACAAAACACAAAAAATTATAACACAAGACACATACATGTTATATATTTACTTATTTTCAAATTTGATTTAGGTACATAATTTGTATTCATAGGCACAAAATTACACAATACAAGACACATAAATTCATAATATAAAACAATTATTAATTTGTTCAATTCATACTTAAGGTACAAATTTTCATAACGCAAGATACAAAAAGTCACAACACAAAACACATACACATGAACCAGGGTTCATAGTGCAGCTTGGTCAATGGTATAAGAATTGCAATAAACTAGGGAGATCATAATAAGACATGTTTGATATTTAGTCTTCTTTAACTATTATTACGCCATAAATTCAACAATCACAGACATTCAACAACGCCACAAAAGCAACATGAAATAAAAAAATTAGAAGCTGAGGAGGTTTTTCTCCTTTAAACTTTCAATAGTATCCTTAAGGGTCACTGCAAAAGAAGTAAAGTTGATGCCCAAACTTTTTGCCTTTTTCTGGGATGCTTTGAAGGTTGGCATTACAGGCAAGTCTCCTTTATATCTGTTACCATTTAAGAAAAAAAAAAAAAAGAAAAAAAAAAGGGATCAATTCGTTGCTATAAGTGGGTTCAATTCAGAAAAAAAAAAAAAAAAGAGTTAATACCGGGTGGGTTCTCTGAGTATAATAACACCGCCGCATTTAGTTCTAAACCTTCAACTTAACAACGTCATGGTCTTTCAACTTTAATTTCAAATTTAACCACTCATGTCCTTCGACTTTTAAGTTAACCAACCATGTCCCTTCAACTTTGAAATTTAGTCAATTGTGGTCTTTCTGTTTGTTTAAGTAAAGGCAAAGTTGGGACTGTTGGGGAAAATCGCAACGTCAACGCACGATCTGGAAGCCTTTTAAGAAGCACGGACACTATGGGTGTATGGTAGAAAAAAAATCTGTGCCGTGTTATAATAACACTACCTTAAAAGCGTTATTTGCCCGGTAACGGTGCAGTTAGAACCCTGGCACGCTTTCGACAGGCTACACAGACCTACTACGGATAGCTTGCACTAGCAATCACATAGGCGAACCTCACTATTGCTCAGACGAAGGGAGGGAGAAGGAGAATAGAATAAATGACTCGAATTCAAGGTGTGTTTTGAAACGATGTTGGGAGCTGCTATTTATAGTAAGCAGCCCCTACATCCCACCCACATGATGGACACAGGGTTTTGTCCACATTTTAGCGCCTTTGGCGCTACTCCTTACATAGGAGCGCATTGTGCGCTACCATGTAATGAAATGGGTTTCCCATTTCATAATCCAATGACAAAGTCAAAGGGGTGAGGTGGATATGGAAGCTTTCATCTTTTAATTTTCCCAACAATCCCCCACAAATTTAAAGAGGAAAGGAAAATGGTAAGGTCTGAGCAATACAAATGAGTTGATCTTAATGTCAGTGTTTGAGAACTTGAACTGACACGTAGTGACACTGAGTAATTTTCTTTCCGGGAGTGATGTGAATCTTGAACTCACCGGTTAGATAAATTTTGAACTCGAATGCACACACCAACTCAAAAAGCAGGTTCTACAAAAGTCAAACTCTTTGACTTCTTATGAACACCCTTAGTATTGAAGAATGTTACGTCTGTCTCAAATATGGACTTCTACCCTGTCAAAGTCTATCACAAAATAGACTTTTAACTCTGACAAGTCTTACAACATTATAGATTTTTTCCGTCTTGTGAAGTCCATCTCAATACAGACTTTTAACTCTATCAGGTCTATCTCGGTATAGACCACCATTAAAGGCTTATAGAGTAGTTAAAGACATAAATCAGTTGTAAGTCTTTTCTTTCTATCATAGGCTGTTATTTGCAATGCAAACGACAGTTTGTGAATCACAATGAAGGAAGGTGTTGGACACCCCCACAATTACACGGTTATCACCATGTTTCTTAGCCACTCAGCTTCTTGGGATAACCCCATTATTTTTCATAAGAGGCGGTTAGCCCTTTTCTACTCAAGTTAGGGGTCTCTTTAGGTCTATCTCAACATAGACCATGGTAGCCCTTTTCCACTCAAGTTAGGGATCTCTTTAGGTCTATCTCAACATAGACCATCCCAATTAAGTATAAGAGGCTAAACTTCCAATGTGGGACAACATAGATAGGCAAAAGGAAGCCTTTCCTTTTAAATGCTCCCAACAATCCCCCACCATTAAAGGGACTTAGGCTGATGCTGTCATTGCCTGACAACGATCAAAACAAATTTTCATGCCAGTGTATAAAACTTGAACTGTCATATAGTGACATTAAGTACTTCTCTAAACGGGAGTGAATTTGATCTTGAACTCATCGAATAGACAAAGTTTGAACTTAACGCACTTAATTTGCTTTGGTCGCTTTAAAATATGTGAGGTCTTACTCTTGACCCTGAGATATCCCCTGTTAGGTCTATTCTAGGATAGACCTTCAACTCTGTCAAGTCTACCTCAACGCAGACCACCATGACTGGCTACAGAGTATCTATGGGCACCACGATCACTTTGTACTCATGTCATTATGCGGTGAATTCATTAGGTTTGTCTCAACAAAACCACCATTTCTCAAAGAGTTATGAATTCATTAAGAGCTCTAGCTCAACCTCACATGCTGTGAATTCATTAAGTTTGTCTCAGCAAAACCACCATTTCTCAAAGAGTTATGAATTCATTAAGAGTTGTAGCTCAACCTCACAGGTACACACACTGTCGGAATGACCAACTAGTGTACTATTTTGTAACTCTTTTCATGGTTTCGTTTGACCACAGAAGTGGCCTGGGATCCACCACGAATTCATTACCACTTGGACTTTAAGTCGTTCCAATGAGTCAACGACTAATCCTCATAATTAGCCCTCAAGTAAGTTGATTCTCTTGACCAAACTTACATGCACTTTGACGAGTACTTCGTTTACTCGTAAATAATCCCTTGAGATTTTCATGTTTAACATGACACATTCTCTTTCATCATTATTCTCAATTAAAAGCGTTATTTTCCCGGTAACGGTGCAGTTAAAACCCTGGCACGCTTTCGACAGGCTACACAGACCTACTATGGATAGCTTGCACTAGCAATCACGTAGACGAACCTCACTATTGCTCAGACGAAGGGGGGAAGAAGGAGAATAGAATAAATGACTCGAATTCAAGGTGTGTTTTGAAACGATGTTGGGAGCTGCTATTTATAGTAAGCAGCCCCTCCATCCCACCCACATGATGGACACAGGGTTTTGTCCACATTTTAGCGCCTTTGGCGCTACTCCTTACATAGGAGCGCATTGTGCGCTACCATGTAATGAAATGGGTTTCCCATTTCATAATCCAATGACAAAGTCAAAGGGGTGAGGTGGATATGGAAGCTTTCATCTTTTAATTTTCCCAACAGGGACTAGTGTACTGTTAAAAATTTAAAAGTTGAAGGACCATGAGTGGTTAACTTGAAAGTTGAAAGACTATAAGTGGTTAAATTTGAAAATGGAAAGATCACGGAGAATTAAATTCAAAGTTTAGGATTAAATATGTCGGTCACTATACTCGAAACACCCAAACTGGTATTAACTCAAAAAAATAGAAACTTCTTCTAATTTAAATCATACTTGTCAGGAATGGGAAGAGAAGGGTAAAGCTGGCCTGCAATCTTCAGAACCTGAGAAAAGTGTATTGTTTCACCAATCAAAAGGTATCTTCCACGGGCAGAAGGTACCTCAAATGCTTGAATATGTGCATTTACAACATCTCTAGCATCAACATAACAATTGATTCCGGGAAAGAAATCCTTTTCTGTTAACAACCATAATTTCCAATACCGCTAATAAGAATGCTAACAGCTAGCTCTTCACAATGTTTCAAGAACATTGATACAAATATGTATTTTGATTGATAATATAATGCTCATTTCTTGAAGAGATCTTACCCTCTTTTATGAGGTCTAGAATCACCTTGGTTGAAAAGTTAAGAGTTGGTTGCAGAATAGGGCCAATAACAAGACAAGGATGCAATGAAACCACAAGACAAGGATGCAATGAAACCATGTCAATCCCATTCTCCCATGCATATTTCCATGCTGCTTCCTCGGCAAGGATTTTAGACAGGATATACCATTGCTATAAAGACCAAACAAAAACTCATCACAGTGTTTTGTTTGTAAGCAAGTTAAGGATACAACTCAATATAATAACGTGTTAATAGAACAGATATTACCTTGTAATAGAGTTAATAGTATTAAAAAAAAAATAAGTATTCCGTAAAAGCTCTAAAGAGCAATATGTTCTATAGCTACTATATTAGACTTATCCATACATATCTAAAAACATAATAAGTCTCAATAAAAGTTATATCCCTAATTTATATCTATTTTTTTTAGTGCTAATCATTTTGTACATTGTGTTTTAAGAGTTGTATTATATATTTTTGTGGACAAAAATACCCCTACCGTTATAATTTATGTTATCTTTTCCATTATTGTTACCGTGCACATGCATCCACCACATATTTTCTTATATTCTTTAATGATAATAATATTTCTAGACATTATATATATTGAATTAATATAATAAATAAATTTGATTTCATAAAGATTTTAATTAGTAAGGATTTGTTAGTTATTTTTAATAATATAAATACTAGGCATATGTTTTTGCGCATCGCGCATAGAAAAGACTAGTATATATATATAAGCGCACACCTTTGTTTCCTCTGCAAATTCTTTATCAGAAAACCAAGTCTCGTCGACTACCTCAGTCGGTGTTATAAGATTTCTTTTGACAAAAATTGAAGCTGTTGAGGATGTCACCACTACCTTTTTCACACAAGGTGTTCTCACACAAGATCCAAGAACATTTAGTGTCCCTTTCACTGCAGGATCCACTAGTTCTCTCTACAATATATAGATAAAATACAAGGGTGATTATGAAACAGAGTTAATTCCAACTGGGGTCAGAGACGGAGCCAGTGTAATGGGGGCAGCTGACCCCACTCCCCCCACCCCTTTATATATATATATATATATATATATATATATATATATATATAGCATTAGAGGTTATATAAAATTAATATTTATGTTTAAGTTGTTTATAATTTGAGTAGCTTAGTTGGTTGAATTCTTTCTTTTATGTCAAGATGGCCTAGGGTCATAGGTTCAAATCTCATTAACAACATTTTTCTTATATTCATTTGTTTATTTTATCTTTTTCATTCCTTTCCAAGATAAATATTTTTTAGTCTACTTTTATAAATCATTTAATTAATAAATTAAATATTCTTTTAGTCTATTTTTTATGAATCATTCAATTAATGTAATATACAACTTTATATTATACTTCATTGTATTCGAATTAATTTAGAAAAACATAAAGTTGATCTAACTAAAAAAAAAATTAAAACATATTTATGAATATAGTATTATTCAAATTATTTTATCTAATTTATTATGTTTCATATGTTGTCATAAATATTTTCACATTGTCATCCCACTCAAGTATATTTTTGGCTCTGACTCTAACTATCGTGTAATATATCAAAATCATTCTATTGTAATTTATAATGTATTTTGTATTTTAACCTTATTATGACTGTTTGATATTTTGTAATTGACATTTCTAACGTTATCCAAACTTTGCCCCCACTCACAAAATTTTCTAACTCCGTCCCTGACTGGGGTCTGCCAATTATAGTGACACCGCCCCGTGTAGTTCTAAACTTTCAATTTAATCATACGTGGTCCTTCAATTTTCAAATTTAGCTAGTCGTGGTCCTTCCCTTAGTTTACACATAAGGGCAAAGTTAGGACCATGGTTGATTAAAAATTTGAAAATTGAAGAACCGTTGTGGTTAACTTGAAAGTTGAAGGAAGTGCGGTTAAATTTGAAAGTTGAAAGTTGTCACATGTGGTTAAATTGAAAGTTTAGGACTAAACATAACAGTGCTACTATATTCGGAGGACCCGGTATTAATTCTTATGAAACATTTGATTATTATTGGAAACAAAAACGAAAAGGCTGACCTTAGTTGCAGATGGTGAAAAAGAAACAGGTGATGCTGTGTGGAAAACACCTTCACACCCATTAATTGCATCATCGAAAGAGTTTTCCTCAACTAAGTCAGCTTCAAACAAATGCAGTCTTTCCTTGGCACCATCTAATGCAAGAAGATGTGACACCTTATTTGGATCCTCTGCAATAATACCATATAAGATGTTACTGTAATGGAAGGTACAGCAATACATATATACATCAATGATTTTCCAGAAATAAAATTGAATTGGAAGAGAGAGGCCAGCTGGGAACTGACTGAGGCAGCGAACGGTGGCGTGGACGGTGTAACCACGGTGGAGCAAAAGCTTGACGAGCCAAGAAGCTATGAAGCCGGAAGCACCGGTCACGCATACCACCTTCCCCTCTCCGCTCATTTGGCTTCTTCTTCTTCTTCAGATTAAATTTGAACTTACCTTCAAACTAGAAACAATACTGGTGATATATATGTTTGTTTCTTCTTTATATTTTCACACACCGCATTATGATACAAGTCGTGATAAATGAAATTTAATACTCCGTATAATATTGATAATATAATTAAGTGCACATAATTGAAATGACTTTTGATGTGTGGAGTGTGGACCAGTCTAGAAATAATTAACTCCAACAATGGATTTCAAGTCAAACATTTAATATTTAATATAAACTACAAATAATAGATTGGTGAAGTGGAGACCATTCAAGAGATAATTTATTCCACCAAAATACGGATAGTTATGCTGTGGGCTCGTGCCCAGCGTGCATCATGGGCACGGATAACGGTACCGTCAGGCACCGTTATCTTCCCTTTTTTTTTTTTTTTTTTTTTTTTTTTTAAATTTAATTTCAGACCGCTTCGTTATAGGAGCATATATTCACAGCTTTGTGTTCATAATTTCATAACTGTACATTCATAATTTCATAACTGTACATTCATAATTCTATAACTGTACATTCATAATTCCGTAACTGTACATTCATAATTCAATAACTGTAAATTCATAATTTTCGAAGCTCTATGTTCATAATTGTAAGTTCATAATGTTAGAGTTCTATGTTCATAATTCCATAACTGTACATTCATAATTTCATAACTGTACATTCATAATTCCATAACTGTACATTCATAATTCCATACTGTATATTCATAATTCCATACCGAACATTCATAATTTTCGAAGCTCTATGTTCATAATTGTAAGTTCATAATTCCATAACTATACATTCATAATTCTATAACTGTACATTCATAATGTCATAACTGTATATTCATAATTTCATAACGAATATGCCGTTAACGCCGTTAACGGCGTTTCGAACAATTTTTTTTTTATAGTTAAAACAGCGTCGTTTTCACGGAAAACGACGCCGTGCGCACCTTGCAAGGTGCGCACGTGCGCATAGCATAATTTGCCCCAAAATACCCTCCAAAAGTTCTGAGTGATATATCAAGTCCAGCCCAAGAAAAGAAATTCAAGTATATAGAGCGCACAGAGTAAAGCTGTCAAAAAGGGCCCAACCCATTTAATCCATATTCTAGGCAAGTTGGGTTGTAGAATTTTTAACTCGACTCGTTTTAACTTGACTAGTATAATTCACGAGCGAACCAATATCTCCACCAATCGTTATGCCATAGAACCGTGTTCACCATCCATGGTGAACACAGTCCCAACGATAACGGTGCACCGTTATCTTTTTTTTTTTTTTTTTTCTTAATTAATTGCGTGACTTTTCTTCTTCATTTTCACATTTCGCGGTTTCACTTTCTCTTCGCGCAAGTTTTTTCAACATTCATAAATTATGAATGTGCAGATATGAATTTATGAATGTGCAGTTATGAAATTATGAATTTTCTTTTATGAGATTATGAATTTTCTGTTATGAAATTATGAATTTTCTGTTTTGAGATTATGAATTTTCTGGTATGCGATTATGAATTTTCTGTTATAAAATTATGAATTTTCTGTTATGAGATTATGAATTTATAGAAAATTCATAATTGCATAACTGTAAATTCATAATCTCATAACCGAAAATTCATAATTTAATAAATGTTTTTCTTTTATGCGATTATGAATTTTCTGTTATGAGATTATGAATTTACAGTACATTCATAATCTCATAACAAAAAATTCATAATCTGAACAAACGCGCGCCGTTAACAGCACATTAACTAAAAAAAAAAATTCTCATAAAAACGGTGTCGTTTAGACCCGTGTTCACCATTAACACGTTTCCAGGGCATAATTTGCGTATCTCCACTCCAACCTTCCACCTTCAAATTTGTTGTGTAATTGAGTATTGTTTTAATATTTTAAAATATTATTGCTAATCAGATTTGAACTATTGTAACCATGCAAAAGACACTTGCTGAACATCTTTATATAATCATATATTTATTTAGATCATTCACATGCACTATTATCAATATAAATAAATAAATAAATAAATATACATATACATACACATACACATACACATACACATACACATATACATACATACATACATACATACATACATATATATGTATATATATATGTATATATATATATATATATATATGTATATATATATATATATATACATATGTTAGATATATTAAATATAATATATTTAATATAATATATATTAAATATAATATAATATATCTATAATATATATATAATATATATATTAGAGAAAGAGGGAGAGAGAGGAAAGAATGCTTTGTGATTCAAATTGATGATTTAAAATGGTTAATAACAAGCCTATTTATAGTGAATACAAAACTAGTAAAGCATAAATTTAGGAGATGCATGCTCCATGTATTGTAAAGTCATGACCCACTTACTGCATCCTCAATCTGCATGCATTGCCACAACTCCCACATACTTGGTTTAATTAAATTATAATAATAATATTATTATAACATTGCCTCCTTTAAACCAAGTTGGATATATTGGTCATCCCAATATCTTTCTTCAATTTAAGAAATGTCTCTATCTTCAACGGCTTCGTAAAGATATCTACAACTTGACATTCACTTGAACAATACTCAATGTTGATTTGTTTTTCAACAACCAACTCTCTGATTTTGTGATACTTGATATCAATGTGTTTGCTGCGACCATGAAAGACTGGACATTTTCTGGAATCGGTTGCTCTTCAACAATATTTTCAACAGCAGGAATAACAACTGAACTTTCATCTTTAGCTAACCAATCCCAAGCACCATATTCATCAAAAGTGACATCACGACTTATAACAACCTTTTTAGTTTCAGGATTGTATAGTTTATAAGCCTTTGAAGCGTCACTATAACCAATGAATATGCATTTCTCACCTTTATCATCCAACTTCTTTCTCAATGGATCTGGCACATGTGCATATGCCAAACATCCAAAAACCTTGATATATTTGATAGAGGGTTTTCTCCCACTCCAAGCTTCTTCGGGTGTCTTATCCCGGACACTCTTAGTTGGACACCTATTCAACACATAGACAGCACAAGCAACAGCTTCTGCCCAAAAAGGTTTAGGCAGATCCTTGGATTTCAACATGCACCTTACCATATCCATGATAGACCTATTCTTCCTCTCAGCCACTCCATTTTGTTGTGGAGTGTATCTAGCTGTCATCTGATGTTGAATACCCTTCTTCTTCAGAAAATCATCACAGGCAATATATTCTGTACCTCTATCAGTTCTCAAGATTTTAATTTCATAACCACTCCGCTTTTCAACAAAAGCCTTAAATTGTTTGAAAACATCACATGCTTCAGACTTTTGCTTCAGAAAGTAAACCCATGTTTTTCTACTGAAATCATCAATGAAAGTAATAAAGTACTTACAACCTCCATATGAGGGAACCTCCAACGAACACAGGTCTGAGTGAACAATCTCCAACTGTTTTGTGGCTCTCCTTGACTTGCCCACGGGAAAGGGATCTCTATGCTTCTTCCCAATCACACAAATCTCACAGATACGATTAGGGACATTCACAACAGGTAAATCAGAAACAAGTTCCTTTCTCGCAAGATAGTTTAACCCAGAAAAATGAAAATGCCCAAACCGCATATGCCATAACCAATTATCATCACAAACTTCAGAATTAAAGCAAGCAAGGAGAGTATGCTTAATTTTCAAAGGAAATAGTCGATTTTGGGACATATTTACCTTTGCAATCAAAACTCCTTTAGCATCTGCAATGGTACAACACCCCTGAGCAATATGTATCTTATATCCTTTTTCTGACAACTGACCCATACTCAACAAATTTTGGTGTAGTTCAGGAACATAGAACACATCGGATATAAAATTGTGAGTACCATCCTTCAACTGAATAGAGATTTTACCTTTTCCCAAAATTGGCACCTTTGACTTATTGCCAAACGTTACTTCAGACCGGACTGATTCATCTAGTTCGGAAAACAATTCTTTCTTCCCACACATATGGTTACTACACCCAGTATCCAAGAACCATATGTTCTTATCAGCAGAAAAACTATCACTGGCCAAAAGTAAGGTTTCAGAATTCTCACCAGACTTTTCAGCAGTATTTTCAGCAATGTTTGCTTGATTTCCACGATTGTTGTCCTCATTATACCAACAATCTGCAATCTTGTGCCCATACTTGCCACAATTGTAGCAATGAAATGGAAATTTACCTTGTTTGGTATTACCTCCACCTCTTCCTTGGTTGGAGTTACCACGTCCTCCTCCTTGGTTGAAGTTACCACGACTTCTTCCACTAGAACCTCCTCTTCCTCTTCCACGACCTCTACCAGATCCTCCACCTCTTTGATTAGTGCCAGTCACATTAAGGGTGACTTGACTCTTCAAAGCTTCTTCTGCTAGTGGTTCCGATTTTGACGCAATTCTGTCAATATGACTTTCTACCATACCTTTCAGCTCTGCAATTGATAAGAGCTCGGTTTTGTGTGACTCTGTTATTGAAGCCACCACATGGTCATACTTCATCGGCATAGTTCGAAGAACTTTTTCAACCACTGCACCATCTTCAATCGTATCTCCATATAGCCTCATCTTATTCACCATAACGCATCTACTGTTTCTGTAGAGGTCATCTCACAATTATCGTACAACCTTCTCAACGACTGCAACTTAGACTTCTGCGCCCGATCGACTCCTTTGTGTGACACCTTTAAGATGTCCCAAGCTTGTTTTGCTGTTTGAGCACGAGCTAATTGCCCAAAAATGGAATAATGAACACCTTGGTGAATCTGACCCAAGGCCAATTTATCTCGCCGTATAGCGCCTGCATCAGCTCCTTCGGGTAAACCGGGATCAACAAAGCTCCAAAGATTTTGAGCTTGCAAATGTGTGGACATCATAATTTGCCAATAATTGTAATCGAGGTTCCCGTCCAATTTGGGACCCGACCATACAATATTGAAATTTGTGGCCATAATTCACTATGAAAAATACCTTGGGGTTGAAAGGTTGACTGTCTCTGATACCAAATGTTAGATATATTAAATATAATATATT